ACACCACTACCGGTGCTGGGGGGTGCTAGGGGATGCTCCACAGGGGTTGGCGGGACTGAGGAGGTCGTGCTCGTTGAAAGAAAAAAAACAAAAAAAAAGAAAGGAAGCCATTATCGTCAAGTTTTCGGCCGAACACGCTCGTGAGGAGTGTAGTACAGGCGCATACTATGCACTGCGTGCGTACACCAGACACAAAGTGATGCGCCCTGTTACAAGATGGCTCCACCCGTTCACGACCAGTATTATAACTTGACAAAAGTGACGCCCAACAAAACAAGCAATATGCCTGCCCTGACCTCGTACAGCACACACGGTTGCCCCTTGTCGACTAGCACTTCCATGTTGTACTGACATGTGGCACGTTGGCAACGGTACCAGGTTCTGAAATCCGCACTCCCAGCTTGCTCTGTGAGCTAGGTTGGGGCGGTCAACGGTTCCAGGATCCCGTAGAATATGCATCTTTGACGACTCAAATATCGATCTCTTTGATGGTTCCTAGATGGGATTTCTTTATTCTTTGTGGTGTTGACTACGTTCTTAAACCACCAGTGCTTCCTAAACTCGTGCCCGTTAACGGTAGGCGATTTAGGAAACGTACGGGCCAGTACAGGAGCAAGAACCTGCGGCCGATAGCTGGGCCAAGTACTGGTGGTTTAAGACTTTTATTTGTCACAAGAACCTAAAGCTGCCGCCTGGCCCTTGCGTTCGGCTCGCTTCACTTCATTTACTCCGGCAAAGAACACATTTGCTGGTTCTTGTGTCTGAAGGCTCCAAGTATCGCCTGAATGCCAACACAACAGATGAAAGCACTGACAGTCAATCTGGAGTATATTGCCAAGTTAAACCACCAGTACCTTTCCCCGCTTGAGAATCTATGGCGCACCGGGTAATGCGGTAGTCAAGCGGGGGATGCCCGCAGTTGATAAAACGACGAATCGGTGGCTCGCTTTTTGTTTCGGGCCTCTGACAGCACCCGCGGTTGGCATATCGGAAGGGTACTTGTGGTTTAAACCACCAGAAACCACACCGTTTCCACTTGGCAGAATCGGGGCCACCGGCCCAGGCCTGTTCACCCCAAAAGTTGTGCCCGTTAAACCACCAGTACTTGGCCCAGCTATCAGCT